AAAGCAATCACTCCATACTCTTTTCTGTTTTAACTGAAAGCTGTTTTGTTCTGAAAAACTTGTGCTGCCCTATTTCCTCTACCAATAAACCACTACATTCCTCTTTTCTTGGTACTTTTCTCTAATCTCTCCTGGTATGACACAGAGAAAGAAGCATCCCACAAGACTGTCCCACAAGTGTTCAGCACCTAAATTACTCTGGCAGTGATAGTCTAAAATATATTAACAAACAACAGACTGGAGTAAATACTTTCAAATAAAAATAATGGGAGTAAAAGTAAATAAATTCCAACATAAATTTGTCCAGGTAGGGACTCAATAAAATGTGAGTCAATACTAAAGGATTAGGTCTTATTATTAGACAGAGCCATCCATTAAAACCCAAGGGATCACGTGAACCTGGCTACAGCTCTACAAGAAGCAGAGTTCAGGTCAGATCTCAGCTGCTTGCTGAAATTAGAAGGGTGAAGGTCAAACAAGCAAAGGCAACATACCAGACACTAGCAGCTATAATCATATCTGCGAGCAGATTTTGGGACTATTGAGATTAAGAATACTACAGGTCAGATTATCTGAAGCTTTTATGTCTGCACAATGTGAAAATGCCATGCATATATTCAAGTTAATTAGCAGTTAAGTGTTCATGCCTCCCTCAATTGGGTGTGATATCAGAACCACACACTTAATTTTAGCCTTTTAGCATTTCAAATAGTGCAGAAGTAGGAATCCTGCTGCTTCTCTTCTGAGAAAAGATGGACCATTGCCTAATCATCCAATGATTACAGAATTTGCACCTACTCCTCAACCATTTTGCTGATCATGATTTGTCTAAGACTCATTGAAAACGTGATATAACTCACTAATAGCATTGACATTAGTGGTTACCCCAAGAGCGCTGGGGCAGTTTTACACTAACATGTTGGCAAAATGCTCCAGCTGTGGATGTAGGCTGTATCAGAAAGGTTTTGTTCATACCAGAACACACGGTCAGGTAGCAAATTCTACCAGTAGAAACTGCACTTACATTTAATGGCTAAGGACTCCGACAACATTGAAGCTGAGGAATGGTCAAAGTTTCCATACTGCTGACTAATCATTACCTGTGAAAACAGAAATCTATTGTGAACCTCTCCTAGATATTCAGCTTTCTACTGATGTATTTCAGGATTTTTTCTGTGTTATACTACAGATATAAAATCCTGAGAATTAAAACTCTTTGAACATTACTATACAGTAATTGGTAACTTCACTATTTTTTTTGCAAATTTGCGAGAAGACGAACAGATCTTGATCCACAACCAAGAGTACTCCCGTGTAAGGCTTCAGAAGCAACTTGCTCAAGATGAAATAAAATTTTAATTGAGAAAAGTCCGTGAAATTTTTTAATCACCACATTTAACTGCCTTTTAGTTACAGTGTGCATAGGCTTTAGAATGCTAGAGTTTATCTTATTCTTCAGTGGAAAAGTGACTAGAAGTGCACACTAGAGGCTCTGCACTGTTTGTCCTTAATTTATACTAAAAACAAGTTGTGGGAGCATTGCCTTTTCATTCTTACTCTTATTTCATGATCTGCTGTAAAAAAAATTCTAGGTAAAGATGGTGACACTTTGTGAAAATCTTGTAACCACGTGACTACAAGGAAAAGTTATGACATTGTAGGTCACTTTAATGATATACATAAAATAGTGCTTTTTAATAACAGTAAAACAATACTTGAAAAAAAACACATCAGAGACTTAGGTGAAATTCCTATAATATTTTATGCATAATACTTCAATTCTGCCCAAAGAGAACCCTGACTAACATCTTCCTAGCTTTATGCTTGAGTTACTAAAAAACCCTCAGCAAAGGTCCTTTCAAATTTATTTCTTGCATAATTTCTTCTAGCTTACACTATCACTTTTCTTTTTAAATTGAAGACAGCTCATATAGGTTTTCATTACATACTTCCCTTTTTTAGTCACAGAATAAACTTCTAGGGTGTTCATACAAGTGTATTAAAAATAAGCAATCTACACCAAATCAATTGCTTATATTACTCATTTGATTTGAGAAGAAAAGTACCTAGTGTAATAAATGATATAAGCCCCAGATGTGTTAAAATTTGAACTCACCACCAGCATTGACATTAACCGCTGTCCTGAGCGCTGTGACAGTTTTATACTAGCATGCTGGCAAAATGCTCCAGCTGTGGACATAGCCTGTGTCAGCAAGGTTTTGTTCATACCACAATCTACAGTATAACCTAAAAGTATAGTTCTGACAGTATATACTATTTAATTGAAAACGAAGAAGAGTTGATAGCTAGTCTTTGAGTTCTTCAGCTCTAAGGCAAATCTACATGGCCACTGAAGTCTGGATTAGAAAAATATTAAATGCTCAGTGTTGGCTTTATTTGTTTATTTAATCAGTACAACCTTGTTTAAACTGCATTGTGTATCCCACTCTTAAGAGTCAGATGTCTGTTGTGAATTCCCCAATCCATCGATCCTGAAGCCTGAAAAGAATAATTTTATCTAAGCCTGGAGCTCACCGCCAGATTCTTATGTCTTGTTTGGCAACACCCTTCTGGATTTCTAAATCATTGCCTGATACCTCCTAGGTGTTCCTCACAACTCCCTGTCATTTTCACTGTTTCTGGGCAGGCCACGCCAGCCCCTCTGCTGTGCCCAGCAAGGCCCCAGTGACACACACGGCCCCTGCGGAGGATCCTGTCCCTCCACCAGACTGATCCAGCCTTTCATTTGTTCTGCAGAAAATCCACCCGAAATGTTAAAAACTGGTAAGAATGATACTTCTAGCTAGTTAGAGTAAACAAGAATAGTCAGTTGAAGACCTTAAATGAGTCTTGATCGGTTAAATGTCATCTTTGCAGTTGTCATACACCTTCTCAGAGCAGGGCAGGCATCTGCAAAGTGACTTCTAGCCACCTGTATTTGCGACATGCAGGGCACATAATGCAGATTCAAAACACAGATATATTCTGCTTTGCTACTGACTTTCCAGACATGCCCCATCTCTTGAAAATATGAAAGAATATTAAATTACAAAGCCATTTTGCATGAAAGGACTTCCTGAGTTGGCTGGCGAGGGCTCCTTCGGTCTGCATATTCAAGTTTCTCCTAAAGATTTATAACTAAATTAAGGTTTGAGAAACTCGTCTGCCAAAAACGAGTAAGAAAAATCTGGACTTCAACGCGTGGATGCTGCTCTCCCCATCTGCCTGAAGAAGGGCTATTTATGCCTGTCAGCCACAGCACCCTTCGTGCCACCACAAGCACCGTTTCTCCCTTTTTTTCCTCGTTTATCACGCCGACCAGACCCCACCACCGACCACCTGAGGGGCCGGCCGGAGGAGATCGCGCGGCCATGAGCAGTCCGGCTCCGTCAGCAGCACAAACACGTCTCT